GTCTATTTTCCAGTAACAGCTCGGTATATTGTTGCTCGAACTTTAATGCTGAAGTTTTCTCACACTTTTTAATCACAGCACTTATCCAAAAGAAAAAAGAAAAAACAGTATTTGGGAGCTCTTGAGAAATGATTGACAAGGAACCACAAGGGCTGTAATTTTCACAAGAGAAAAAAAACTTTCTGTAAAAGTAAAAAGCTCTGCAGAGTGCAGCCGGGGCTGAACGGTAATACCTGTGTGTCGTAATCCTGCAATCATCCTCCAAATGGTTCAACTGTGCCCATCAGGGACGGCCTGTCTTTTAAAAAGAGGCTAATATGATAACCGCTGGAGGTTTATTTAAGGTTGAATTTGTGTGTAAGGAAATCATTCAGTGTGCGATTCATAAAGATGTTTTCTGCCACCGCTCTGGGCTTCTGCTTCTGGGACGGCAGCGGTTTACGGGATTGCGGCCGAGCAGATGTTTACAGATGTGGGAGGCTGCGGACCCTCGGGGCCTGCGTGACATGTGGGCGCTGCAGCGGTCGCCGTCACATCTGGAGGGAGGCACGGATTAGCGGGCGTGAGGTCAAGACCCTCCGCCGCTCGCAGACGCACAACAAGTGTTTACGGCGATTACCGACGCGGCAATCTGGCACAAGACGCTCGTCAAAACACTGCCGCTGCCTGTTTTGATGCTTTTTCAAGAGACCTTGGATGACCTTGAAGAGTGGAAACGGGTTCATTTATCTGATAGCAGACGAAGAGGATGTTTGACACCATTACATTAAACCATCAGAACAATGTGACTCCATTCATGGAAAGAACCTAAGAATTATGAACTTCTCACAGCGTGACGACAAACCGAAACTGATTTGACTCATCGTCTTGATCGTTGCCCTTTAAGTTCAAAGACAGCTTATTTCTTTACCAAGGATCTGTTTTGCTTCAGTAAACATCTATTCTCTCTGCCGAAGGAAGGCGTTAATTCTAAACAAAGAAAAATACATTAAACCCGTATCCAGAGTCAGAACTCAAGCTTTGTGCTCCAGAAACTAAACCAAAGTGGCTCCCAGCGTTCGGGCTGTTTACACGGCTTATTATGGGCTGCGATGAATCATCATTCAGCCTTGAGAGTTGAACTGCAGCTATGTTGCACTCCATTAATTATTTACTTGGCATTTATTCTGCAATTATTTTGATGATTTTTAAGCCAAAATTCTGAGCTGGCAGCTTCAAAAAAATAAGATTTGACACTTTTCTTTATTATATTTGATAGTAAATGGAATATTTCAGCCTTTTATGTTGCTGCTTGATTAAAAAAAGCAATTTAGGAATGTTCAGAAAATGTATTTTTAACTGTTTTCTGACACAAAACGAGTCGAGATGAGAGTCAGGTGATTGTAAATAACTGTTAGTTGCACCACTGCTTAAGTTTACATGATCGATCCACAAAGGCGTGAGTTTGTTAGAATAAACCTGCTGGCCTGCCCACACACACACACACACACACACACACACACACACACACTCGTCTGTTACTGAGTCAACAGGCAGCATTGGGACTAGATATCCTCAGTTAAACTGCTCTGCACAAGGAGCCAATCACGCAGCCCTGAGAGCAAAACCACAGATCTGATTGGTCGCAACAACAGGCACTTGGTGTTTTTCTTTTTCTTTTTTTTTTTTTGCTGCTAAGTGGAGGCCGAAACAGGGAGAGTGACCACACAGCAGGGGCGCCGGGCTGGGAATTAACCGTGTGTGTGGGAGAAGAAGAAGAACAAGAGGAAGAAAAAAAGGAGAAAAGAATGGAGAGAAAAGTGGGATGAAGAAGAAAGAGGAGATAAAAGTGCAGCGGAGTCAGCGTGAAGTGCATCGGCGAGTGGAGTGAATGGACGAGTGTGACGGCAGATAAGAGTTTAGGTTTAATTAAAGGGTCCAGAATGAGCTTAAAGGGACGTTCCATAATTAATCTCCTTTTTCTAATCCCAGGAAAAGAGCAGCGGCACCCTGCGCCGCCTAATCGGCCCTCTGGTTTCGTTTTGTTTTGGTCCTCGATCACTCAGAACGTACACTTCATCTGTAGTTATGGGTATTATGTTCCTCCCGGCTTCTCTCTGTCTCTCACTCTTCTTCTTCTTTTTTTTTCTTTAAAACTCTATTCTCAGCCACTTTATGTTGAACTCGCAGTGAACCCGATGTGAGCAACATTTTAATTCTGAAAAGTCGTGCAGCAGCCAAGCGGAGCAGTCAAAGCATTCTGGGCTTTAATAATTCGGCAGACTGGCGCAAACTAATAACAAACTGACTCGACCTTGTTTTTGTCTTTCATGTGGCCGAGCTGCAGTTGCCCATATTTCCTCAACACAAAAACAGTTTCTTTCTTAGTGCTGGAGCCTCGACTCGAGTTGTTCCTGTTGAACCGAAAGGTCAGATATGAGCGTCTTACACTAGAAGCCATCCGTCATTTATTCGTAGCTTCAACCACTGAATGGAAAAACTCAAGAAAGAAGTCACAAATGAATCAGATCAGATCCTTTTGAAAGTCTGTTGGGATGTAAACGTCAGGATTGTGATGCACGTTTCCAACAAAACACTCAGTGATGATTTTTGCAGGATGTTGTGATAAAACTTTGACACTTTCTGCACATCAACACAAGAACCTTTGAAATTTCTCCCTTCACACTTCCTGCCATGTTTCTTTGTTATATTTTTGTTGATGTTCTTTGAGGTTAAAATGTAAAAAAAAAAAAAAAAAAGCCACTTCCACGAGGATATTACACATTACGATACCGATACTACAGTCAGAGTGTGAACTCGCGCAGCGCTTTGACGCACATTTAAATTTCTCGACGAACCGCACAGTTCTTCTGAATCGGCTCCTGTTGTTCGTTTACAATCGCTGAGGTGTCAAAATAAAGAGTCATGTTTTCCACCGAGATGCTTGCTCAGGTTGCACTGACGGCGAAACAGGTCGAGCCGGTGGACGGGACGCGACCTCGCTGCTGCTGCCTTATTAGGGATGACATGTCAGGAAGTGCAGCTCATTTGAATGGCTGCCTCCGCCCTTTGCCATCGCGCTGCTGCTGCTGCGCCGCCGCTGCCACAGACTTCACCACCATGTTTGGCCTGATGAGTCACACGTGTGGTGAGACGTTATTACCAAATACAGTCATCAGCTGCCGTCTTTCCATTCAGATCCACCACACTGACATTCCCCTGAAACGTCCTCTGTGCATGATTTTCATGTTTGACGCTGCAAAAAAACAAAAAGCTCGACTTGTTTACTGAGTGGAATAATCACATGCTGATGCAACATGAGAGTCCTGCATGTTAAAAAAAATCCCCCGCAGGATCATAATTAAGTTTTATGACAACAAATACCACAGAGAGAGGCAGAATCTTTTACTAAACAATGTTTTATTAGCAAATGTAAAAAAACATCCCACTGTACTCGAGTCAGGCTTTGAGGGAAAACGCATCGATATGGTCACAAAAAAACAGAACGACAGATTATTCTTTTTTTTTTTTGGGATAGTGGAGGAAGTACTGACATAAATAATCAGACAGAACAAACAGACAGAAGTTTGCTGGACTTGTGTTTGGGAGGGAAACCGTCGTGTGTGCTGGTGACGCCCGACGCGCTCACTTCGGTCCGAAGAAGTCGACCACGCCGTTGCCTTTGCGACCGTCAAAGAAGAAGAAGTTGCGGTGAGGAGCGTCTCGTTGGGAGAGAGCCTGAAGGAGAGAGAGGAAAGATTTATGCTTGTTGGTCCGACTGTTTGCAGGATTACGCAAAACCCACTGGGAACAGTTGAGCTCAAGCAAAAGAAGAATTCACGATTTTAGAGTCTGCGCCTTGAGCATGCTAGCTCCAAATCGGGCGTTCTAGATTTTGGAGCGTTTTTGTTTGTTTGTCCGACTGTTTACGCAAAATGTACTGGTCCGATTTTGATGAGATTTGGTGGAACGGTGGAGCTTGAGCAAAGGAAGAATTCACGATATTTTAGCGTCTGTGCCTCGAGCATTCTAGCGCCACCAATGGGTCAAAGTTGGTGGTGCGTTTATGCATGTAACCTCTGAATCTCACAGTATGGCGACTGGTTCAAAACACCCAATGACACCAATTTCCACCATTTTTCTTTGAACCAATCTTCACCAAAACTGCCACAGATGACCTTCAGACCAAACCACACAAAAGCTATCGTATAGATTGTTGATTTTTGAACGCATTTGTACCTCAAAGCCAATCAAAACTGCCAGGAATGGGAACACCATCTCTGCAATGGTTCGATCTTATAAAACCAGATCTCTTACATGGTCTCGAGATCCGTTTAAAATTCCACCACGAGTGCGGCTGCACTGAGCAAAATGTAATCTAGATAAAAACTGTTGATGCTGTTTTTGCCTTTCATTTTGTGTTCAGCACTTTGTTCCGACTTTTGTTGCGTTAAAGTGCTTTATAAATAAAGTTGAGTCGAGTTTCGTAACTATTTCTTGTGCCTGGTTATACAGCGCGAGGTCTGAAGGTCAAGAGATGACGATATTCTGTGCAAACCCACGAACTCCAGAGGAGCCGACGATTCGTTTTAAATAACAAACCATTAAGGTCAGTTTTGCTCTGATTTGGAGTTTTCGCTGAGAAGTTACGGTCCGTCAAACAAAACTCGAGTCAGCATGTAAAACTTCTTCAGCGCCACAAAACATTTCGAGCAGGTAAAAAAAATCGCAGCTTCAACGCGCCGACCAGAAAGCACCGTTTTAACGCCAGCTTACTAATCACACCTTTGTCGGAGCTTCCGTCCACAAGGTGAGCTCATTTTTCTGTGTGCAAGTGAAATAAGTCAGTTTCACTCCGCGAGACATCAGTCGGCCAGTTGCAGAGGGTTTCATCATCGTGGAGCGCAGGTTGGCCTTGTGCCAACATAATGCAGCCTGATTCTGAAATGTCAGAGCGCTGCCTGCCGTCCTCGCTCTCCCTCTCCTACACACTGCCGCTGACCTGAGCTACCCTGTTTTTACCTCAGCCGGAGGTTGCCGTGAACGCGGCTCATTAAAAAAAGATGCTTTCAATTCCGCCCGGCGTCGTGTGTGAAGCCTCCTTCTTGGGTCGCGCACTCAAAGAACAGCCCGTATAATTAAGCGTTCAGACTTTTCATGAGTGAGACGACTCCTGATGATTCTAATAATAACGTTATGTTGCCACACTGAGCAAGTGAAGCGCATCAGAGGAATCGATGTACGCATCAAAACGGATGTGAAAATCCAATTTTAAAGGATTTTTAATAAATAAATTCAGCTGCTAAAACAAAGTCTCCAATTTTGTGGTGAACCATGAAATAAAAGGCTTTTTGCTCCCCTGAAGAAACCAATCAAGTCGTGAGTTCTTCCTCTTTTCTTTTTTGCTTGTCTGTAAAGTGCTTTGTGGACTCAGTTTTTAAATCAAATAAATAAAGTCAGAAGAACAACAAGAATAACAAGAAGAAGAATAACAAGAACAACAAGAAGAAAAAGAAGAATAAGACAAATAACAAGAAGAAGAAGAAGAAGAAGAAGAAGAAGAAGAAGAATACGAACAAGAAGATCAACAAGAAGAAGAATAACAAGAAGAAGAACAAAAACAAGAAAAAGAAGAAGGTCTGATTTCTCTGTGACCAGATTTTTCACAAATTAGTCAATTTAAAACTTTTGGTGATAAAAACCCTGCACTGACTCCTGATGGGATCAAAACACCACTGATTTGTTTGTGTTACTCAAACTGTTCCTGCTTCTTGTGCTGCACTGCATTTTATTTATACATCTACAAATTCAATCAGACTTTCTTATAATTGTTGAATTTTTCGCTGAAGGCGGCGGTCCAACGTGGACTGCTTCCCCTTTAACTGTGACCTTATGACCACTGCGTGCGCCGCTGCTACTGTACAGTCATATGCTCTGCATCTGAATTCCAACCAACGGTCTCATTGTGTTCTTTTATGTCGCGGCATCAATACGTTTATTATGCCGTCGAGCTCGAGCGCGGCATAAATCATGTTCTCCGACTGACAGGCTGCTGCCAGAGCGTCACACTGAGTCGCGCTGCGGTCACAGTGAAAATCACTTCTACCCGGAGCAGAGTCGCTGCTGTTTTTCTGGATCCGACCCAGCAACCAGCCGAGTGGCCACATGTCAGCTGACCGACTCCCTCACACACCAGACCGGCCGTCTTCACCACTGAATCACCGGGTGAATATGGCGACATGCGTCAGAGGGGATAGGACCGGCGTGTTCCCATTGTTTCCTGGCGCTATCGTGTTCATATAGTTCTGTGTGCATTTAACCACAAGACGTTTCTCGTGTTTACCTTGACGACTTCCTGTCCGAGAACTCCTCCCACGACGGCGCACACCGGAGACATCTCGGCGAAACAGTAGCTGAGGACAAACAGTACAAGGAAACATGAATCACTAAGTAGAAAATGTGATGTTAAGGAAGTGAGAAACCGAGAAAATTACTGGTTCCAGAGTCACAAACAGAAAAAAAAAAAAGAATCTAGCTTCTGGAGCCGTGCCATAGACTGGTTGAGACTCGCCAGCTGATTTATGAGTTCGGCTGTCTCGCGCCGCCAACATTACCGCAGTGACAGAGATAAAGTAAATGTCTGTTCACTGACAGTGGAGGCACGGACGTCTGGGTTAATCGGTCTGCAGTCGCCTTCTCCTACAGATGATGGTAGACGAGTTAACGGGGGATTTATTCAGCCTCACAAAGCTAGTGTGGAACTGATTAGGCCACAGACTTTGAGAAAAATAAAGTGATTCTGTTCAACTTCCACAGCGAAGATGGGAAAGTGTGGTCGTGGCATGTCGAGGCAGCAGGACGGGACTTTGTGTGTCTTACAAGGGCACAGGCAGAAAGTATAATGGTCGTGTAAAGGATATACAGGTGTGAACAAAAGTTAACACACACTGAAAAAACACCGTCATGGCAGTCTGGAGTTTTCAAGGACTCCTATGACTGAACTTTCGATGACGGAATCAAAAAGAACAAAGATAAATTTTGGTTCTTTCGTTGATTTATTATCGGTGTTTTGGAAATATGACTAAAAATATACATACGGCAACTTGAATCATTAGTCGACTGGATGTAGAAAGTTAATCAAATGTTCTTGCTTTCATGGCCTTTTAACTCCTCCTGAGTGATTACGATCGACTACAGCTGCTGACTCCTCTGAACAAATAGAACCCATCTGATCGACTCATTAGACCCAACCACAAACGCTTCAGTGGGAAAGTCTCACGCAGGGCAGGGATCTCCAGCTCCGGTCCTCGTGAGCTACTGTCCTGCAGGTTGTAGACGTTACTGCAACTCAAATGAATGGATCTCCAACAGCTTGTTTTCAAGTTCTACACAAGTCTGTTAATGATCCATTCATGTGAGTCAGGTGTGTTGCAGTAACGTCTACAACCTGCAGGACAGTAGCTCACGAGGACCGGAGTTGGAGATCCCTGGTCTTCAGCGAAGATCTGAAAAAGCAAATCATTGTCTTCAACAAGTCAGAAAGTCGCTTGGAGCCATTTCAAAGCAGCTACAGACCCAACAACTGTCAGCGTAAGCTTCATGGCACAGTTGTGTCACTGCCACGACCAAGAAGAAAACTCAAACTATCACCTGCTGCTGACAGACCATTGGTCAGGATGGTCAAGAGTCGACCAAGAACCACCAGAAAGTAGCTCTGCAATGAATCAGAAGCTGTTATTGTTCACTATTAGGTGTGTTTTACATCAACATGAGCTGAGAGGCTGAATGAAGAAGGAGGTTCTCCCTCTAGAAGCTGCCTAAAGGTGCTGCAAAGAGCAGGTCTTCTGGAGGAAGCTTCTGTGGTATAACACAGCTTGAGCTATTTGGCCACAGTGAGCAGAAACATGTTTGGAGGAGAGAAGGTGAGGCCTTTAATCCCAAGAACACCAAACCTACCATGAAGCATGGTGGTGGCTGCATCATGCTCTGGGGCGGTTTTGCAGCCAGTGGAACTGGAGCTCCACCCAAAGTAAATGGAACAATGAAGAAGGAGGATCACCTCCACATCCTTCAGGAAAATCTACAACCATCAGGCAGAAGGTTGACCTCGGACGCAGTTGGATGTTCCAACAAGACAATGAGCCCAAACATACATCAGAAGTGGTAGAGGAATGGCTAAATAGACTGGTCTCCCCAAAATCCTGACTTAAACCCATCAAGAATCCGTGGACTAATAAAGAAACAAGTCAGAAAGACGACAAATTTAGTTGAACTACACGACTTCTGTCAAGAGGAGTCAAAGACAAACCAGAAGCTTGTGGATGGAAACCTAAAGTGTCGTGGTAATGTTTGTCATATGTCCAAAAGATTTAGAATAAACTAACCAGAATGTATGATTGTTTTTCGTGACAAAGTTGGATATGTTTCACTGATGCTATGATAGAAATTCGTAGGCGTCATGGGAAACTGCCGTCATACACGTGGTGCTTCCAGGTGGACGTATACTTATGTTCACAACATGTGTATTCTAGAAGGGGCTCCAACCAACCCACCCCCCACACCACTGGGTCAGAGTATCATGAACCAAGATGAATGTCTTTATATCAGAAGGTAAACCTCCAGCAGGGTGAGTCGGTGTCATGAGCGCGGCTGCTGTATCCTGCTGTCAACTCTGAGCATCAACGTCAGCAGTTTGTTCAGTCAGATCGCTGAAGAGCCTCTATTTGCTCTTGGAGAGAATGAATCCTTCAGACTCGTGTTACATCAAAGTCACCTGATGAAGTCGTCGTTGAGGAGGTCAGTGCTCAGCGCCAAGGCCTCGAGGACGTCATCGCGGATCTGTCTCAAGAGCTGACTGTCTTCTGGAAAGGCCTGTGGGTCGGGGTCGCGACCTTTGTCTGTGCGGAACTTCAGCAGAACTGTGGAGACGGATGAGAGAGGGAAGGAAGCAGGAGGACAGATGTGACAGTTGAGAGGCTGGAAACAAGTGTAAAACCTTTTCACTAAAGCAATATTTTCCATATAATCTATTGCACTATTGCCATTTATAATTTCATCACGCTTTCAAGTGACTTCCACGGCGAATTACCATCTCATGGAAAGACAACATCTTGAGCGCTGCTCCCTTTGAAACGGGATAAGATCAGTATGTGGTTGCACCATCAACCATTTCATCCGATTAGACCCACGTTTCTCCACATCAAATCACACACACACACACACACACACACACACACACACACATCCACCTGCACATGACGGAAATATTAGCTCTTTCTTTGAGGTTAAAAAAACTCTCTCTTGTGTCGGCTTCAGGACTGATTGAGAAATTAAAAATCACAAAAGCGCTCTTTATTCTGTAATGAGCAATATTTCAAACATAACCGACTTCTGCGACACAGGCGCACATCAACACGTCGCCCCCGTACTTCCTGTTCGTCCATTAACTTAAACCACATGAGGAAGTCAAGTCCTCCCACGGCCATTTCCATCAGCGTGGCACGCCGCGCACACACCAGTAGTGGCAGTGAATCATTTGTCTCACCTCGGCTTTGCCCTTTATCAGTGAAACTTTGTGAGTAGAAGTTGCAGACGGGTACAGAGCGCATCGCACTCCGGTCTGCGCCAGACAGGAAATCAAACAGGATTTCATAACAGAATATAAATCTGTGAACATGGAAGGAACAATGATGATATCTCCAAAACCTACACATGCAGCAGTGACACGTAATCGTGGGGAAAAGATGCCCCTTGAAGCCCAAACCTGCATTTGAGATCAAAGATAATGGACAATATTTGTTTCCACATATTAACACATCACCTGCACAGAGCTGGCAGGAGGATATTTATTTGTAAAAACCTATTTTTATTTGTTATTTCCTGCGATTTGTGCACATATTCACACCCAGGAGTCGTGTGTTCTGGTCGACGCGTCTGGTCCGGCTGCATCTGAACCGATAAAAGGAATTAAAAAGATCATAGATACTGATGATGAAAACACACACACACACACCCTACCTGCGGTTTACTTCACCCTACTGTTCCTAGTGAGACAGGAAGCAGTTATAACAGAGGAAGAGCCACTTCCTCATTGGTCGCCCCAAACAACAACCGCTGGCTCCAATTATAGAAACAGCGGAGGAATAATAACGCGGCGTCCTGTCTCACGCTCGCACACCGAAAAAACAACAAGCAGCCGATGTTTCCACTCAGACATCAGCCGCAGACTGAGGACAGGGGCGCGGCTGCAGCGGGTCGGTGGGTTTCGGAGAGCGAAGGTGTGATGAGATCGAAGGCCGCGACCTAAAATTAAGCATCCAGGATGGTCTGAAGGCAAACGCAGCTGCAAACAATCACGTTAACCGTTGAGCAAACAAACACACCAGAAAGCCGCCGAGTGCATCCGGATAGTGAAGGTGTTTCTAACTAAATCATCTCAGAAGTTTCTATCTCCAGGGTGGAGTTTGTGTTAAGTTTCAAGGCTCGTTCATCCTAAAGAGAATTAAACGCTATTATATTCTATTTCCATTTACAGCACTGGTTTTATTGTAGCTGTGCAATGGTTGTTATTTACATTCGTGTGGAAAACATGCTGATATTTCACTTTCTTTAGCTGCAGTTTGAATATGCTAATAGCACATGTTTCCCCTCTCCTCGTACAGTATGTGAAAGGTAGTTTGGTGTTTTGGTATCAAGTCTCCAGTTTCATATTCTTACATTTAAAAAACTCACCAGATTCTCAGATTTTATAATTTTCTGTTTATCACTATCTATATAATGCATCAAACATCAATTTGTTGCAGAAGAGTTTCCATTATAACAGCTTTATAAATGCAGAATGATCTTTTTCGCTCTGAAAACAACCATTTTTTTGCAGTTAAATCCTAATTACTGAGGAGTACAATCAGTTTGATATAATAAGCATCCTGATAGAAGCTCAACTGAATCTGCAATCACTGCATTTGTGCCTGGGAAAAAAAACAAAAAAAAAAACACCTGCACCCATTAGCAGCGGTGTTTCTGGTGGTTTCCTGGGTGCCGCCGCGCGGCGTAGATGTCGGCTGTTCTACGCTCAGTGCACATGACTGGTCATGGACAGCCTGTGATGGAAACTAGCGTGCAGCGTGCAGGGACGGTGCAGGTGACGGGAGGGACAACAACAACATCAGAAAAGGTCAACTTACGCACAAAAATAACCCGAAAAACAGGAAGGCAGCATTTACTTCAAGGGTCAGAAAGCTTGTTTGGTCCGATGGCTACGAATCCCACGATGGAAATTATTCAAGTATTTGTCGATTTAAATGCTTGTGCACATGGTCAGTTATGTAGGAAGGTGGAAATGTTGTATATTCTAGAGTCTTTACATGTAAGGTGAAATATTTCAGTCCTTGTATGGTTTTAATTTGGATGATTTTGGCCTATAGCTCATGAAATTAGGAAAACCTGTGTCTCAGAATATTAGAATACTTCCTATGATGAATCAAAACATTACAAAATAAAGATTTACAATTCAGAAATGTCCAACTTCTGAAAAGTGTGTTCACTTCTACACAACATTTTTTAATGGAAAAATCTTTTTCACAATGCTCTAACTCTTTGAGATGCACTTGTATGTTTTTTGTTTTACCAGTTGATAATAACATTTTGGTTTTTCTTCAGGTTGTGCATTTTCTTTTCCAAACCCCGCCGACAACCTTTGGTCGAGGCTGACATTTGACAAACTTTACGGACATGACTTTCCACGCGCACACAATGGAACATGGATTTTTGCATGTTGGTGGTGTTTCAGTCCTGCTGCAGTAGCCTACGCGTTTTCAGTTTCCATTTTCTGCAGGATTCTATGTTTTATATTTGAAAAATTCTCGGTATGGAAATTCTGTTTGTGTCTCGGTTCCTCCACAGAAAATGTCAGAAGACGTCTGACGTAAACTCGTGCAAACTCAAGAAATAAACAATTTTCAAACTGCATTTAAAAAAAAATCTACCCGAATCTGCGAAAAAAATTAACTTTCCGTGTTTGCAAATCCTAAATAATTTTCACAATCTATCGGTTTGGACTGATTATATTTAAACTTTACTGACTGATAAAGAGAATAAAACAATTCCACCGAGCAGCTACCAAAGCTTACATTTTGTAAAAACTCAGAAAAATTTGACTTCAGCTGACTATCATTAAAAAAAAACAAAAAAAAAAACACCAAGTTTGCAGCAAATAAAGACAGATAAATAATTATAAATGACAAGAAAAAGGGCAAATTTTCACATTGAGAACCTCTGAACACTAAAATGTTTGTATTTTTACAATTAACTATTGCAGAAGCGTCATTAGGTACCGTGAAGCAGGAAGTAGTCCACCGGTGTTCTCTTCAGACCGGCTTTGGCCTTCTCACTGGTCCAGTCGACCTCCAGAGCCTCCTTCAGGGTGCAGAAACTGGCCGTCTGGTTGGAAATTTTAAGAAATGTCATGTTAACCAGGAGTTAATAAGTGGCGTATTTATTCTTTCTTTCTTTCTTTTCAGGCCAAATGAAGCAACGTCCAGCGATGTCTCAATGTGGGCAAGCAGCTCATTTGAATTAATCATCATAAAGGCCAAAAGACAAATCAGTTAAATTCAGTTTTAGAGCGACTGCATGAAACAACAAAAAGCAAAACAGAGCAAAGACTGTTTTATGCTTTTTGGCTTCTGGGGATGAAAACACAAGAATCCAACCATAAAAATGATCCAGATTGTTCAGGAATGTTTCAGGATTTTCATAGTTTAGATTTTTAATTGAGTATCTCTTAAATTAGTCACTTTATTAACCACTAGTCCAGCTGTCTAGATATTTATCCTCAGATATAACAGGTCTGTACAAGATGCTCTTGGTCTCTCTACCTTCTTCACCATGGTGGTCTCGTTCGGGTCCACTTTGGCTTTCTTGGCCTCCGGACCGTCGTTGGAGTCACCGGTCGGTTTCACGACTTTAGGTTTCTCCCTAAAAACAAAGAAAAGAGAAAAATGTTGACTGTTGTGCTTGAGTCATTTCTCAGAGAAGCCCAGTGGCTCAGATTTAGGTATAAAAAGGTGAATTTGGATTTCCTCATTCCTGTAGAAAATGGTGAAACGTGGAGAGCTGAGTGCGAATCAAAGCGCTTCATGATGCTGGATGGTTGACATACAGTCGTCCTCAGATGTTTTCATAACCTTCCATTAAAGAAGGAAAAAAACGACTGAAATAAGTTGAAATTGACAAAAGTAATAACAAATAAAAATGTAATGAACATCATGACGTTGCTTTAGAATTGTGGTTCAACAGAAATATTAAACAAAAAAAAAACAAGCAAAAAAAACAAGCAAACAAGCATGATGGGACACGTTAACTAACATTTAGTTGAACAACTCTTTGAGCCAATCACTGCCGTCAGGTGTTTTCTGTAACTCTCAGTCAGACTTGTGCACCTGTTGACAGGTGTTTGGATTTCACTGCTCATCAGCAAAGTGCTCTAATTTGTCTGGGACAGTTTTTTTTTATTTATTTTTTTCATTATTCTTTTCAGCCACAATTCAAAAGCAACATCTTATTTCACTAAATTATAATTTAGCAAATTTTTATTTATTATCACTTTGTTCAGTTTCTATTTATTTGAGTGACTATTTTGAATTTTGCCTTTTCTTTAATGGAAGGATGTGAATACATTTGACTGTAACTCAACCTTAAGATTCTGTGACCTCACACAATTTTAAACACTTTAAACTATCAAAACAACTGCTTCATCAAACTACTTTCAGGCATCAATTTTTTTTTGGGTTTCCAGCATCACCCAACTTCACCAGGCAGCTGAGAGCAGCTCCACCTCTGAAGGCTTCCTCTGTGCGACCGTCACAGGGGCGAGCTCAGGTGAGACGCCCTCCGTGAACTCCCGCCCACACTTACTCCACATAGTTGTGCTCCGGTCCAAGGTTGCAGAACATGTAACCGTAGTAACCGTGGACGTCTCCACAGAAGACCTTGATGCTGTGTTTGGAGCAGAGCTGGTCGACCCGGACCATCAGGTCCCTGGAGCAGCCTGTCAGACACACCTGAGGGCAGGAAAACAAGAAAGCGAGCGGGGCTGATTAGAGGGTCCAGGAGATGCTGGTTCAGCTGTGGGCAACTTCGAGGCAACCGCAGCTGAAGCTTTTATATAAAACAAACTTGTATCCATCATTTTAAAAATCCTCATACAGTAAAAAGCAACAAACATGTGGGATTAAGGGGTTGAAATTCCCAAATTAACTCCAACCGTTTCCTGTTAGTCTTATTTCAGGGATTAGCACATGGAGGTTGTGATGTAAAGCTTTCAGACGACAAAAGCAGTTTTTCAGTCATTTAACACAAAAAACTTAATTTAACAGCTCATATTTGCTGTTAAGGAGACATTCTGCCCACTTTTAGAAGTCATTTTAGGCATTTTCTGTGATCCCAAGGACACTTTTCCAGCCACATCTGCAGCATCTTTAACTTGCTGTTTCCATTATCAGCAGTGCTGTGAAGCTAATTGTCTTTTAGAGCCTCGATCCGACGAACATAAGTGCTACATTTCCGAAACATCTCATCTTTATGGCTCTAAAAATATGTATAGAAACGAATGTTTATGAACCTCTTGCTGTTTATTTGTACACTTTTTTTTTTGCACCATTAACCTCTGAGGATGAGATTTGATGAAACTGAACTCCCACTCTGTTGGCAGTTCCTCCTCCTTTACCACCCATGCTGCTTTGTTTTTTGTGCCATTATTCAGTCGTTTTCTGTCTTCCTTCATTAGCATAACACTAAAACTGCTTGTATTAACAGAAAAACATCAAACGATGCTGCTGTCTTGCATTTAGTCCCCGAGGGAGGCACACGTGTATTTTTACTAATAAAAACTGGCTGCTTTAAAAAAAAACAACATCAGAAACTTTCAGTCAGCTCGATTTCTTGGAACAACAAAGAACGGCAGCTGGTCAGTTGCCAAACTGATGGAGACACGCCTGCTGCAGTGGCGGCGGCGATGGCGGCGGCCACACTTCACCTTGCCGAGGTCACGACCGAACCGACGCTGGGACACTGTGTACTCTGCTGAGACCAGGGTGGGCTGCTGTCTCACCACAAACAAGTGACCGGTGGGCTGGGTCGAGCTTATCCGACTGACCCAGAACACCCGAAACACCCTAAACTCACAGATAAGACCCATATTGACACAAAAAAACAACTATTTTCTTAATGGAAATCTTCCTACGAGTCCAGCTCTGTTCACAAATCGGACCAAAACAAGTTATTTTCGAATGTTTTTCTTGCTCGTGAACCACTGGAAAGGTGTTTTCATGCACCACTGACGATTCAACAACACAACGATTTGAGTCTATTGACAGCTATTGGCACGTCTGTCTATGTTGCCATGGAGACAGCATTATAAACTAAATCCAATCAGATCACACCGTTGGGTTTTTGGGTCTCAATCTATTCCAATGAGCGACTTTTTAAACATTTGTTAACATTCGATCGTTTCTCGTTGGGTCCGTAAATATTGAATTTCGTAGAGAAACGCTGAAGGATGCAAAATCGATGTCAACGTGCGCCGAATGTGTAAGAATTAGAGAGAAAGCTGCATATTTGCTCGGCAGTCATGATGCTCTGTACTTCCAATTTCTGAATTGTAAACAGTGTCGGTGGCGAGCCAGCAGCACTCTGCGAGCACACAGATGGACAGTGTGTGTTTTTCTATTGTATTCATCCTCCAGTAATTAGGCCTCTCAGACGAAAACTGCGACCGCACTCCAACTGCTCCACTTTAATCAGCCTCCATCTTCCCGCTGAGCCGCACACTGATACATCCGTGGAAGCAGATAAAAGTGACGAGCAGTCTACAGCAGACAGAGACCCCCCTTCTGCTTCCCAGTTTTTTTTTGTTTTTTTTTAAATTGTTCCACCTTCTTTGCGCCGAACCTCTCGTCCTCCCTCAATCTGTCCTACTAACATCCATCTCATCCTCCTCGTCTTCCCTCCCCCCTCCCTCCCTCCCACCGACCCTCACTTAGCACCCCCAGAGGGAGGAAGACTGCCGACAATTCAGACACAACAGGAGGGGAAAAAAAATCTCTGTTATTCTTCTGATGGTGTTCAAATACATTCTTGCTGTCAGCAGTGATAAAACTGAGATCCAGCCTGTGTGCACAGCTGCCTGTAGAAATGAACCATGAAAGCAGCTTTCATCGTGTTATCTAAGGAACACAATCAGCCATTTGCTGCTTAATCCAAACCCATCCAGCGGTTTACTAACATTATTATGAAAATATCCTAATGAGTTGTATCAATTATGTCATCACGTTTAGTTCATGTCGGAGGAAGAAAACGTTCAACTACTAGAATGAAAATCTTTACCTTGGGTGTCAAATATGTCAGTCAAATATTAATCTTCCTAACATGTCGTTCACCTGAGTCAGGTCACACAATCACAAAACAAAAGTCCTGCAACCAGAGACTGAGTTTTATCTTCTCAGCATGATGTCTCTTTTAAGTCCATTAGACTTAAAACAGAAAAGTGACACTGAAAGCTTCAGGGGGTCCTTCCAATTTTAAAGCAGCTGGACAATGACAGAGATTTCCTCCACTAGAAACAACCAGTGTGGATGTTTAGTTCAGTTTATTAAAACCCCCATGAGCTGCAGCAAAGCCACAGCTATTCTTCCTGAGGTCCAACAGAATCATATGTACAAGAAAACAGAAAATATTGTAAAAACTAAGCAAAACAAAAGCCAACAGTGTCACATTTTGATATATACATTATGAGAAACTGTCATGATGTAAACGATTAAAAATTAAAAGGTTTGAAGCTTCAAAGTAATCACTTGTGTATTTCAGTCTTGAATCCAGCGCCTTTAAATGTGTAGGTGTCCAAATACGGCATATAGACGGTTTCAGAAATGATCTTTTTTTGGATCTTTCACGCTTCAGGGTCGTCAGTGAATGGAACCAGCTCAGGAGTTAATATGAAACCTCAGTCACATGATCACGAGCTGACACTCATCACTAATTGCAAATATGAGATCTGGTTGGAAGTTCCCTAAAAGCCACTAAATGGACCTCGAGAGGAAATTATTTCATTACATACTGATGGATGAAGGTCAAGAATGAATGTCTATGTTCAAGTGAAGCGTCACCATTTTTTTTTTTTATTGGCAGTAGAAATTATGAGAAGGTGTCATTAGTCAACATATGGTGGAAACTAATGAGCTGGGTGGTAATAGCTTCTTCCATGTTGAATTTTAACATTGTTTTTTTGTTTGTTTGTTTGTTTATAATGACCCCGGCCACCTTCAGTGGGTCATTTAGCTTCATGTTTATGCTTTAATAATACCACTAAACCTTTAATCTGTCAGTAAATGTGCTCTGGATGCCATGCAGGGAGCTCAGTAAGTGTTCGGACAGCGTGAAAGTTTTTGCAATATTGCGTCTGTACACCACCACACTGGATTTGAAATGAAACAATCAGGATGTGATTAAGTTGAAGAAAAGTATTGCATTAACTGCTGAGGAATTACAGACTTTAAAAAACAAACCAAAACAAAAAAAACCATACTGAATACTTGAATTTTATTAAAGTATTTTAATGTGCCTGCTTTATCATTTATTTTTCAGGTTTGGCTTTTAAACAAAGAATTTCATTACTGCAAAACTTTTCATTGGCCTCCAGAAAGCCCTGCAGGTGAAGTCAAAGTAAATTACTACAAACTTTCATAAACTATGAACCTACAGGACCACAGAACCCAAACACAGATTTTAAACCAGCAATCAGTGTTGCTATGTTAATAAAAGTGTAATATTAAAAACTGTTGAATGAAATTCATTTTAAACAAAACATAACCACCACAAGGCTGATGTCAGCACTGTAGCAGCATTTAAAGAAATCAGTTCATTGCAGCCGGTCGGGACAAAACAAGAAGAGCTTTTCATACACAATACGGACAACGAGCGACATCTTGTGGTCAACCCGAGCGATTCAAGGCCGGGTGCTCACATTAGTCAGAAATATCAGAGAAGAGCTGCACTGTCACTTCTTCTTGGTCTGGATAAAACCTCCAAATGACGTCATGTGAGCTCCATTTAGACACCGACCGTAAGTAACACACATTAGAGTTCAATAGGTAAGCTATATCAGATTTAAAGTAATAATAGATTTGGTATCCAAGTCAAATATTTCAACCTCGCCCTCAAATGTCCACTTATTCACTGCAAATTCACCGTATTTTAATGCAGCTGCCTTCACTTATTCAGTCTACATTCAACTGTCTTGAATAAACCTCTATTGTCACTCACCGCATCAAATTGCAGAAAGAAGTCGTCTGGTTTGTCCTCGATCCTGCCTGGGTCAGCATGCACCTCCACCATTGGGTTGAGGTTCTGCGCTCGCTCCAGAGAGGCCTGGGCCCGATTCTGACCCTGAGCTGTTACCGGAACCAGGAACTGAGCTCGACACGAGTCCTCCGAGACCTGAAACAGGGGACGCATGGCAGGATGAGGACTGTGCAAGGCATGATGGGAGCTTCCTGCAGGCTCTTACTTCAAATAAGCAGGAAGACAGAATTATGTCATTACCACAATAATTCCCCCCAAAGGTTTATGCAACATATCTGGTTAGTTTCTTAACTGGGTGATTAAAAAACAAAACATAAACTTTAACCAAAACTATTTCTTTGCTACTAGAACCATCTAGTGGACAGATGTAGTCCTGCATGTCTGAAAATGTCATAAGCTTCCTATCATTTCATGGTTTAGTGGGCTACAAATATATCAAACTACATGTAATGTTCTGCAGTTTTCAATCATACCATACCTTCATCGGGCAGCTGTTTGATTTACAGGCCACAGTGAGCTATAATGAGAACAAGAAGAGGGACATCTGAGCCTGTGTGTGTGTGTTTATTGTATCAGCATGTGTACCTGTTCATGATCCAGCAAAGTGAGTCCTTTAACTCCAGCCAGGATTAAGTTCTTGGCCACTTCAGCCCCGAGACCACCTACACCTGCCAGGAGCACACGGGACCCTCGCAACCTGGAACGCAGAGAAAACGCAGACTGTGTTATTTTTAGAATCAACGTGTAAATTAACCTTTGAACATGTAATTGAAAACTGTGCAGCAGAGATGCCTGCATAGACGTGGAGGGACATGTTCAACAACAACATTCAGGTAGATAAGTCCGTATCACAAGCAACAATAAGATCAGAGTTTGATCTAAACCAATCCATGCCTGAAATTAAAGTTAGATTTTAAAGGCTCATGCATGTCATTAGGGCCGAATAATTAGCTGCTTTCAAATCCAAAAAATGCAATTTAAAGCACTTCAGTCAGCAAATTGCAAGATTATAGATTATGCAGCATGTTTGATCCAGGATTTAAACTGTCATGTCAGCGATTGTACAGATTTGAATCATTTTCCTTGTGTGAGAGTCTGTTGTGCTATTTTATATGTTTTAATCAACTACAGTAAATATTAAATGGAAGTCAGAATGTATGAGTTTACGTTACAAATTAATTAGCAATCACAATATCTGTCAGAAAATTAGAAATCTGTTATTTTCTCCATTGTTCTGTTTAGTTATGGAAACCAAATGTCTCCAGCAGTGATCAGTGATCCAGGCTGTCAGTGTCCAAACCGTCTGGATGAATAATATAAACATTGCGGCCTTTATAGGAAATGCATTAATATTCTCAATGAGTTTTACACAACTCCCCTTGGCTAATAATTATAAAACGTAATTAACTAGTTACAGCTGAAAAAAACGCATTCAATGAGGCGCTTTGGTAAAAGCCGGTGCAGAAAGAGTGCAACAAGTCAAACCTTCCGCTGCACCGATTAGCCGTGAAAGCTAACTGAGCTAACTGACCTCTTCTGGGCATCCAGCCCCCACAATCGGATCTGGCGGTCGTACTGTGCCGCTTCCTCCTCGCTGATGATCGGGTCCTCCTTCTCGATCATATCGATCATTTCGGATCCCTCTAAATATCAGAACTAGGGTATAAAATGGTCTTTTGTGGAGCTACTGATGTGGATGTTTCAAACGCAGCGACGGTCCCGCTAAATGGGCGCTGAATGATGACGTCACAGACCGACACAATAGATGTATTTGCTTTCATTTGTTATCACAATATTTGTTGATTGTTGGATGATTTTTGTTTTTGTTTCTCATTTTATTTATTGCAGTAGCTTGTGTCGGATTTCTTTATGTTATTTATCTGCAATTATTCACCATCGTTAGATGTAAGTGTATATTTTCATTGTTTTGAAACATATTTAAATCTCAGTATGGCTCGGTACCCAAACAATTTCTCCTTATTGCTACTGAAGTATATTCATCCGACATTAATAAGCCCTTCAGTATAATTTAAATCTTAAGAGTTACAGTTTTACAGTCATCACATGGCTTCGGGAAACGCAGCATGGGTACATTTTTCCCTGGGTGTGGTCTTATGACAAGAATTTTACAGCTTTTTATTTTTGTTTTTTAATTGGTTGGTATGTGCCCTCTAACGCTTTATGCGTGACAGAGAAATAAATGAGGAGTTCCTGTTGGCAGTCGTCTGAGTCCTGTGCATCATGAGACTTTTGGTTCTATCTGGTTCTAATAGATACCTGTAAAAACGAGGTTATGAGATTAGAACCACTATATTTATTTTTGTAAAGCTGGGAACCTGTTCACCGAAGCCCCCGAAGTAAAATGATTTTATTTGGAATAATGAATGAGGTGGCTTTGCCTGATTTTGTATTCCCACTGCAAGACTACATTGTGTGCTTAATTAACCTTTGCAGAATCCCCACACAAGGAACCTGTATCTGTTGTATTTCAGCTTAGTCGCCTAGAGCAGGGTAATTTGGCCAACATGTCAGTGTCAAGCACGATAAATTCCTGAGTTAACCTATTTTCAGAAGATCGTACACCCAACACTAAAATTGTATTTAGCAAATGATTGCCATCTCAATTAAAGGTGGTTAACATGCTTTTTGGATGAGTCCCGGACTCAACAGGTAAATTTAACATGACTATTATGCCTAATTTATTTATAAATACTTAATTACTTCGTCAGTAATATTTGTTTTTACAAGTGCGCCTGCGAGTCAACCTCGGGGACGTATTTTACCCTCCGATTGTGCCATTCGGTTATTTCCGTGAGGTGCGTGCGCTATTCGTCATGATGTCATCCTCGGCGAGGCCCGCCTCTTTTCTCCTTGGAGAAGACAGTCGGCCATTTTAGGTTCATCAGTCGTCATTTCACATCGCTACAGTAGGACGGAGAACGTCAGGATTCAATTTCATCAAATTTCTCTTACAACTGTAGTGGAGAATTGCCTACTATGAACTGAATCTCTTCCTAAAACCAAAAACAAGTAGATCCTAGTGAAGTGACGCATAAGCCAGTAGGTTTCAGTGTCGAGTGGTAATTTTTTTGCACCTCAATGTAGCTAGAGGAAATGGCTGTGGAAAGCATGACTGTCCATCCAAACTCCCCAACTACCAACCACGAACACAACAGTCTCCTGACTGACGAAAGGTCGAGTAATTCTACAATCATATTTAAATGAAATTATTTATTTGTCCTGTGCTTTTACACAAAAAGCCCGGGGTTTCTTTTTCTTTTTTTTCTGTCAGAGGGATTAAACTCGCCTTTTCTGGAAAACAAGTACAGAGGTAAAGAACGCCATGTTGACACGACAACGCCAACTGGGAGGCCAAATAGCACCTGGGATAACGTTATTCCCTGTGTTTTATCACGTTGTCACAATCAACGATCAATCGACTCAAGCCAACTTTTTCTGAAGAAAAAAAGACGAGGTCGAAGCAGCTGATCAATTATACTTTCACTTCCATACTTACAAATTCAACGATTATAAAGCATCGGTTAACTACTTGCCCATTGTTTTTTTTCTTCTTCTTCTTTTTTTAACAGTTAACTAATTAGCGTTAGTTCTGTTAATTGTGTGTGTGTGTGGTGACCGTCGCAGGTTTTACAAAAAAAAAAATCCAAGCGATTGTCCTTTGCTAACGGTGGGCCTGTTGTCAGGCTAACTTTAGCAACATTAGCTTGTTTGCTAGCGTTAGCGACGAATGCAGTTGGCAAAGAGCGAGAGAGCGGCTAAGCTAATGGCTAATGCTTTCGCCGAGTGTAATTCGCGATTCGTCGACGTTTCCAGTCGCGGCGTCGTTTAATTAATATCACGTCAACTAACGCTCTAAAACCAGCTTGACTTCTATTTGATTAACACGGGCAATTAATTTAAACGCGTTCAAACGTATCGTTGAGTTGGCGGTGCGAAGCAACTTGTCGCCCCATTAGCTCTACGCACTTTTAATTGTACTTGAGTCGTCATGTTTCTAGTCGTAAATAACTCTCGCAAGAAAGCTTATTTCTAACACGCTTAAACACTTGGGAGTTGTTCTCCACAAGACTTAACGGTTAGTTATCTTAATGTGTATTTATTTTTTTAAAGTTACCCCCTTGTCTGTTCTGTTATCGTAACTTGCTATATAAACGTGCAGCTTGTTGGTCATGAATATTTATCTAACATGTCACTTTTATTCACAGTCGTGCCCTACACTGACTCGTCCCAAACATCCACAAAAGTCCCCCCCTCCCCCCAAAAATGTGTAAAACGTCTGCAAAGCATCCCAGAAGTGTTTCAAGTCAAACACCAAGTTCCCCCTTTCCACAGTCCCCAGTTGGAAAAATTTGCTGTTGGCCCCACGTCCAAGTCCCACAAAAAACAACAACAACAACAAAAAACCCCACTAGTGTCCCCCCCCAAAAAAAGGTTAGGGAAAACGTTTTTCAAAGGTTTTGATTGCAAAATGTGAAGAAAACCTATCACAGTAAGTATTCCCCATTTTAATCATGGCCCTTTGCTTATAGGATTAAGTTATGGACTCATCCACTGAGCTAATAATGTACCATAGTGCATGGTAAATCCTTTGATTCAGTCGTCCTTAATGGACCAGAATAATCATGTGCTCTGTTAAACTTTGAGAACTTCTCACAGCTGTCTGCTAGTCGGGTGTGTTCACAGATTTTGGTACAGTGATGATGGTGGACTTTTTGGTGACAGATCCTGCACAGGCCTGGACTTTAATGTGCTCATTTGCATTGATACTTGTGTAGGGTCTAATCAAGAGCTCTTTAGGGAAATAACAGCTTTTCCTCTCCACAGGTCTGCAAATGTGCATCGCTAGACTTTAACTATAGCAGCTCTCGAAGTTTGTGCTTATCAATATCTTGGCTAGCGGTGTCTGGATGGTTTGCACATTTTTTACGTTTTTCTCCAAAGTGGCACATTGTCGGCAGCAGGTGATGTGTGTGCAGTATCCGGACAGGCCAGAGAGGCCATGAGCTCCAGGCCACAGTGAATCCCGGCCACAGTGAATCCCAGCCACCCCCCCATTCACAGCAACCTGCCTGCATAATGCAGCCAAATCCCTGTGCTATGACAGAGAGCCCTCCAACTGCTGCACGAGAGGTTTCCTCGTGGCAGTTCTGTGTGTCCGACCCATGCAGGTTTTGATTAAAGTGCCGGCTTGTAGTACATGCCAGCAGTAAAACGGAGGGGTGAGCCGGCTGTGGACTCCTGAGTTTGTGCCGTTTGGTTCAAAGCTGGTGCAGGACAAAGAACACGCCTGAGTTTTAGAAAGTGTTTGAGGTTCGGAGGCAAAAAAAAAAAAATTTGTCAGATTCAGTGTCTGTGTTGATTCTCAGTCATCCAGGTCACAGTAAATCTAAGACTGGACCTCTGTTGTTGGTTCTGCAAGACTTTTCACTTGTCACGAGAGGATTCAGTGTGAAATTGAAAAAATGCACTTCTGGCCTTCTCGGTAACTGAGTGTTTGTTTAGAGGAAATATTGGCAGAAAACGCTGCATAATCTGTGTTTATCTGTTTTGGGTGATTTTGCAGAGAATTTATATTTTAGAGCAATTTTCAGGAAGATTTCACTCAAGTTTACAATTTGACTCAATAATGTTCCAGATTAAGATCCAAACGACAAAGCTGGATGTTGTTGTTTGTTTTGGATTGTGTGCAAACAGCAGATAAGTGGATTTTGTCTGGGGAGCAACTTTAGGCTTTATACCAGGACGTGTTCTACTCCTCACCTTGATCACTCAGTCAAATCTGAAGCAACAGCAAAGTTATCCAGATAACTTGCTTCTTGGCGCAGACTCATACTGTTGGTGGCAGCAGCAGCCTTGGGTGAAACTTTGATACGGCACGATTTTACCAAGTTGGTTTTACTCTTTTTTCAGAACACAAGGTTGTGCACAGCTCTGAGTCGCATTCACTGGTTTGCTTTGTTTCAGAAGTTTCTGCAGATGAACCGTGTGTTTGTGAGGCCGAGGTTTAGCGCAGATGATTGGGGCTGATTACTTTGCTTTCCCCTCCCCGAGGAAGCGGCTATGCCGAGGATGTGGTGCGGTGCAGTGGAAGCCTTTCGGCGCAGCTGACACTTTGCTTCAAAGCAGATTGACTGTACCCGCCACCTGCTACGTTCGCAGCGCTGCACAGTTCACCGTGTGCTCTACATAGGACTGTAAAGGCAGCTGTGATCTCGGTGAATAAGTGGAATCCTGTTCACATCATCCTGGCCTCAGGCATCACTCCCAGCCGGCTGCACATGGTGCTCGTCAGCCTGCTTTGGGTGTTGGCCTTTGTCAGAAAGCGAGGACATATTTTCTCTAATAGGGAGTGATTAATTCTTGGTCTGTTTGCTATTACTCAACTTTGCTCTCTGTGACAGCCTGTGCTTTGACTGATACCGCGATGAGCAGTCTAATTATGCAAGAATATGTGTTTAAGGTGGTCGGTTGTGGTGGATTAAAGCGGCACCTCTGAGAGTAGAGGGTTATGTCTGTTTTGCCCCTCAGCTGTAAGCATTTAGGTGGTTTGACAACGTATGAATGTGCAGCAAATCCGAGCTTGAACCAGAAAGTACAGTAGCACAAAATTACATATATGCTTGTGTAGAGTTGATTTTAAGGCGAATGTAGCAAGAAAAATACAAACCCATGTGCCTTACAGATTGTCCATGTGATAAAGGTTTCACCATTTTTGAGAATGTTGATCATTTCTCTTGCTTGCACAGTTTTGTGTGATTTCAGTACACCATTAGATGTGTGTGTTTATGGCAGCTTGTTTGACTGATGACCCAGAAAATATGGATGATATGTTAGTAGTCTGGTGTCGTAGCCATGTATGGGTTCTGGTTTAGTTGTTTTTGTATTAGCAAGACTATATATCGCACTTTGCAGAAAGTGTTTATCAGTTGTATCTGATGTTTTAGCGGAGCCTTCACTTGACTTTTCTGTTGAGCAGCCAGTTTTGTCTGATTCTTCAGGACATTGTTTTTTATGTACGGTGTTTGGAGGGATTCATATGGGATGTCGTAGCACCTGTACAGAAGCTTTTGAGTCAAACATGAAACCATGAATGAGAAATACAAAAGTTGTGCACCTCGCAGAGTCACAGATGCAAAAAATCCAAAATCTTTAATTCCCACGAATCACCAATCAGAGTAAACAGTGACTGAAACCAAACTAACCTTTGTCCGTCTGATACCGTGTCAGGTGTCCTCTCAAAACACAGCCTCTTCTAAGCTGTTCAGTATCAGAAATGTGTAGTAAGTGCAGCAAAATCTAACTTGTATTGAAACCGACTCTGATTTTCTTTAGTTGCTATTAGAATATTTGAATAATAAGACTTTTATTTGCATTATTTTTCAATATATCCAGCCTCAATCATGCATTTTAACCAGAATTCCCACTATTTAGAAATTTAGAAATCCTCGTTTACTCACAAAATGTAAATGTGTAAATTATTCATTCTGTACATATAGACTTATTGTCAGCTTTACCAAACCTCTGTACTTGTTTTCCATGGGGACAGTAAGTCACTATTTCCGTTCGTTTGCATAATTTCTTTATACATTTAAAATAATTCTTATGTGTGCCCTTAAGCATTAGAGCCAGAGTGAATAAGATGTATAACCTCCCTCCATTTGTTTTCATACACAGGCCAGAAGATGGAGAGCTGGAGGAGGGCGAGCTGGAAGATGACGGGGGAGATGTTGAGGCTGAGGAAATGGGTGGAGGTGTGTCTGCAGCAGGAGCAGGAGGAGGAGAAGGGGGCGACGACGCCGGCGGAGGAGGCGAAGCGGGAGGAGACGGGGCGGTGGAGAGGCCTCGGCGAAGTCGAGAGCGCCACGCCAGCAGCGAGTCGGACGACGAGAGGTCCCACCGTCGCAAGAGGAAGCGGAAGAAAGAGAGGGAGCGGGAGCGGGAAAAGAGGAGGTCCAAGAAGAAGCGCAAATCGAAACATAAAGTAAGACTCGTCCGGACGATGCAGAGCTAAATCGTCTGCATCCTTCTGTCTTTATCTGAAAAAACATCTCACGCTTGATGGTTTCTCTTCCAGCGTCACGCATCCTCAGATGATGACCACTCAGACTTCAGTGATGACTCTGACTACAGTCCCAGTGAGAAGAGGAAGTACAGAGAATACAGTCCCCAGTACCCCCCACCTGTAAGTCTGAGGAGCAAACATCCCCCACGTTTACATTAAACCTCGACAGTTCTATGTGACTCAAACACTCTGTGAAAATAGTTCATTCATATTTGATGTGTCTCTAGTCTCATGGGGGCTACGGTGGCTCAAAGAAGGGCTACATGAAGATGGACAAACAGAGCTACGGAGGTTACGATGACTATGAGGAAGACAACTACGAGGGAGAGGAAGACGAGGATATGGTCGACGAAGACTACGACGACTTCACCAAGGAGCTCAACCAGTACCGCAAGGCCAAGGAGGGAGGCGGCCGCGGTGGGAGAGGTGGGTCCACGGCGGTTTGGATGAAACTGACATAGAAACACAGGCTGCATATTCTGCTGTGTGGATTTGTTTCGATGAGATTTGATCCGGTTTTTAGTGAGGAAAAAAAAAAGTTAACAAAAAGAGGTACATCAGATGGCAGAAGTACATCTAAACCTGGTGAAAACGATCATCAACATTATTAAAAGTGAGTTTTCACACAATGTGCCACTGTGCTGCAAACGTTTGCTGCAGATTTACCACCGTGTGCTGACGACACAGTTTCATTTGCACACTTGCGGTGAAGTTCTCTTATCCGTCCAAATTCCACAGATAAGTCACCGAGCGTCTCTGCTGCCTCCGTGGATCGCTCTTGTTTCATTTCTCCCTTTGTCTCTGTGGCTCTGCAGGAGCCAAAGGTCGCATGAAGGGCCAGCGAGGCCGTGGAGGGATGAGGGGAGGGAGGAGAGGAAGAGGAGGAGGCCGAGGAAGAGGAGGAGGCCGCGGCGGCGGGGGAGGAAAGATGGGAGGAGACAACGATGACGGAGACGGTTACGGAGACGAGATGGAGGTGAGGTTCAGCTCTCCAGATGAAGCTCGGCGTCTTGTTTGCGTTGGTCAAAGTCTAGGAAACGACTTGTTTTTCTCCTTTGTTTGCTGTGTTTTGTGTCTATTTTACATGGAAGCATTCCAGTAAACAAACACCCCCTTTGGAGCAGTGATTTCCTTTGTTGCTGCGTTAGAAAGCGGTTTATTCTGGGCTAGACAAACATGCAACATCTGTAGTAGCTGTAGGTAGTCTGACAAATCAAGCTCGTTGGTGGTCTTTGTAGGAAAAGTGATTATTTTCCTGTTAATGGAATAATAATCTGAATGCATTCATTTATTTTCATCACTTGATGTGGTCTTGTTTCTGAGGATAAACCCAACTAAGGGTGCACAATCACTTTAGATGTCTTGATTTAAAAACCTTTTCTACACCACAGAATCTAACCAGAACACCCTATTTTTTTTAGAATATTTATTTCTTTTGCATATTTTTGTAATTCATTCAGATGAGCCGCATTAAACCTTTGTTTTCAAGCTGTCGAATCAGTGGCACTCATTAAGCGACTCTTCTTCCAGTACGTTGAAGACGACTACGACAACATGGGCGACGATGACTACGACGACTACTCCAAGGAGCTCAATCAGTACAAGAAGTCCAAAGACAGAGGCAGAGGTTTGTCGTTCATCTCTTCTTGAGAAAACGTCTGTAAACTTTTACTGGGCCAACATTTCACCCATGCCGTGTGTTCATTTCTGCACCAGGAGGTAAAGGAGGCCGCGGGCGAGGCAGAGGCAAAGGAGGACGGGGTATGCTCAGAGGAGGAAAGGGTCGAAACAGAGGCAGAGGAAGAGGAGACATGGGGAACGATGACGACAACAATGGAGACATGGACAACGGGGTAAAACTTCTGTAATTGTACAGCCTGACGCTAAAACCAATTAGACAACCCAAACTCGGTTAACGCTCATGTGTGTCTGCTGGTTATGTGTCATTCAGGATGGCATCGGAGGTGACGGACCAGGGAGGAGGAATCAGAATGAAAAGCACCAGGATAAGAAAGGAAAGGCCATCTGCAAGTACTACATCGAAGGGAGATGCACCTGGGTGAGATGACACAGATGTTCATGTTCGGGCTTGAAATCACAGTTTGCATTGATTCATGTTGGAAGTTGTGTGCTTATTTTTGCATTTTTTATTGCTCCTACACTACATATATACATTTCAGCTGCTTTTCTAAAGTGCCCATGTTGAATAGAAGTAAAGAGTATATTTTAAGCATGTTGTGTCACAAAGCTTTTTCACAGAGTTTGAAGTTTGCAACCTCACGATGTTAAAACATCTGTTAGGCCTCATTATCCTCAGCTCACTGTCTCCCCCTGCATGGTCCGATACATGATTAAACTCAAACACTTTGAAGTTTGGCACCAGTAAACTACAGCAAAATATAAATACGATGAATGAGGCTAGAGTTTGATAGCAGACAGCAGAAAGCATTGGACATATTGGTTATTTTAGCCTCCCTGGTCAACAGATGATCAGATTTCATTATGTCCTTCTTCAACCACCAGGGGGACCACTGCAACTTCAGCCACGACATCGAGCTGCCAAAGAAGAAGGAGCTGTGCAAGTTCTACATCACTGGATTCTGCGCCCGAGCTGACCACTGTCCCTACATGCATGATATCCTTTACTGCAGACCACACGGAGAGCCTCTTTATTACTCAGAGAACTCTGGGGATGTTGATGAGTTCCTCGTTGTGCCGTCAGATTTAGGTTGTCTGTGTCTGACTAGTATGAAGATACAGAATTGACAGGTTTGCATGAACCTTCTTGCGAGTGTTCCTCCTTGACTCAGCTGCTACGTGAATTCCCCTGTAAGCTGTTCCACACCACGGGCAAATGTGTCAACGGCGACGAGTGCATGTTCTCCCACGAAGACCTGAACGATGACACTCAGGAGCTGCTCAACAAGGTGGGATCCTCAAACTCACTCATCGATTTTCTGTAGAAATAATGAAAAGTTCTGCGAAACTATGTTTTTAAGAGATGTATGTGTTTATGGTATTTACATGTCTACGGATGGCAGGCTGTAACTGTTTCTCTCCAGTTCAGGTTCACTGAGCAGTGGATTTTTCTGTGGCCTTGTTTTCTAGATGTTGGCAGAGGATGCAGAGGCTGGAGCTGAAGATGAGAAGGAGGTGGAGGAGCTGAAGAAGCAGGGGATCAACCCTCTCCCGAAGCCCCCTCCTGGAGTTGGCCTCCTCCCCACTCCTCCTCGGCCTGTTCCTGTAGACGCCAACACGGGGCCTGTGGATTTCGGCGGGCCTCCACCTGGTGACTTCGGTGGTCTTCCTGGACCTAATCAGGGGCCAATGCCTGGCAAAGGCCCGCCAGGACCCGGGCCTATTCCTGGGCCGAACCCCTGTGCTCTTCCACCTGTCCACGGTCCCGATGGAGCTCCCTTCCAAGGCGGTCCCCCGAATCCCAGCGGCCCTCCGCCCCACATGGGTCCTCCGCCTCCTGGTGGTGGAGGAGGAGTTTGCATGGGGAAGAAGATCCCCTCGCTGTTTGAGATTAAAGTTCAGCCGACAGGACAGCTGGCTCAGAAGCTAGCAGTTAGGTAAGAGGTCGTACATTAAGAATAAAATGTTCCCACGTGTATAACATATTGGTATGTAGACTGGGATCAAGTTAAATTTAAGTCCTCAGGTGTAGAAAGGAACCCAAGACCTGAATGCTTCCACCCGTAGACATGAAAGAAAGCTCTGAACATTTGTTAGATTCCACTCAGCTTAGATTCACAGCAGATAGAAGTGTCTTTTAAGTGTCTGTCAAGTGTTTTATTACTTTAGAATTTCAGTACAGTGTTCACGTTAATGTATCCCCCACCGTTATGTAATAGACCCTGTCCTGGTGTGGTTTAGGCCACAGACCTCTCTTTAGTTTGTCCTGTAGACACAGCATATGTAGGAGATGCAGACAAAGCAGAGAGAACAAGACGTAACTCACTTTTCCCTGCATATTTACTCTGAGATCTATCCTGTACCTTCTAACACCTCCTTCCCCCTTTGACTCAGCAGCCAGCCGCCCAGTGGCAGCCAGGCTCAGACCGCACCACCTGGACCCCAAGGCCCCCCAGGAGCCATCCCACCCCGCTTCCCCGCCCCTCCAGGCATGATGCCCCCCGACATGCAGAACATGGGCCCCAACCTCGGCCCCCCTCCACCCATGATGGGAGGCTTTGCCCCCGGCGAAGGCCCCCCACACGGAGGTGCTATGCCTCCAGGTCCCCCTCAGGGAGGAGGAAACTTCTTCAATAACTTCTACAATCAGCAGGAGGGAATGAAGATGGAGGGAGTGGTGCAAGAAGGTGAGAGTGAATTTCAGAATCACATTATTCAAAGCTGCACCAGTTTTGCATCCGGGCAGCTAGCTTCGTGGTGCACATGTTTCTGAACTAATGAGTAAATTCACTGTTCCCTCTCAGGTGACAACTACCAGGGATTTTCCGGCATGGACGAGAGAGCAGGAGCAGGGAAGTTTGGAAATCAGTCCGGCGGCCAAGAAGGTTCTGCCAACGGAGCCTCGGCCGGTCAGGGAGGGATCTCTGTGCCAGACTTTCTGCCTCCGGCGCAGCGTGTCCTGTTCATGAGGATCCAACAGAAGCAGCAGGAGGAAGAGGAACGAGCTCGCAGGATGGCCGAGGGAGGCGCCGAGAAGAGCAAAGACACTGAAGGTACAGGACAAGTATCTGCATCTCTGTGTACAAAGTAGTCCTTGAAATACTGAATTGTTTTGCCATTTTTTAGAATTTTCTTTTCATACAAATCTTGAAACCCACTGTATATTTAATGCATGATCTGTATTATAGACAGTAGATTCATGACAACACGTTTAAAGAAGTAGACCAGCTTTCAGGGAACATGTTTAGTTTAAATGTGTGCATCACTCCCCTCTGTCATCTTTACAAGCTGCTATTTTTGTTGGAAGAGCTGCATCTCTAAAGGGTGAAATTCACCTGTGAATGTGAATAAACATCTGTTATTATTGGTAGTTTCTTCAGATTCATTTAATATTATGTTACAGGCTTCATGCATTTACATAAACAGTTTTACAGCGTGACAAAGGTTTTCCACTCTCTAATGTTTCTACAGTCAGCAGAAACCTCAAACATGACAGATTCCTTCAAACTGAATCCGATGTCAAATGTGTTCTTTCCTCAGGTGACTCAGGAAACTGGTACTCCAGTGAGGATGAGGATGGTGGTGGTAGTGTGACTTCCATCTTGAAGACGCTCCGTCAGCAGACACAGGCTCCTCAGAAACCCGACGGCCTTCCGAGCGACCCACGTCTCCAAAAGGCCTCCCCAGCCGTCCCTCCGGCCCGTCCGGCAGACCCTCGCTTGGTTCGGGACCCCCGTCTGGCTCGTGCTGCTGAGTCCTCACAAATCTCCGACCCCTCCCACACTGCTTCTTCCTCCGGACCGCCTGCAGATCCCAGGCTGGCTAGGCTAGCCGCTGCTGCCTCAGCAGGATCCGCTTCCCACTCGCCTGCTGCTTCTAAACCAGAGCCTCCTCTGGTCTACAAACCCCCGCCGCTTACAACCCCAGCAGCTGATGAGGAGGAGACGGAGCGGGTTCTACGGGACAAACCCGTACCGATTCCTCTGGACCCCCTCATGGGTATGGCTCTGAGAGACCCACGCACCCAGCTGCAGCAGTTCAGCCACATCAAGAAGGACATTGTTCTCCACATGCCGGCCTTTTATAAAACCATCACCTGGTCACCTGAAGACCTTCTCCCGCTCCCGCTCCCCAAGCAGGACCTCCTTCCGCTCCCACCGGGCATTCCACCTGTGTCCTCTCTAGAACCACGTCTGTCTCGGGCTCAGCAGCAGCTCCACACGTCACTCCCTCACTCGCAGCCTCCTCCCATACAGCCTCCTCCCTCCATGGACCCTCCTGCTCCCTCCTCCTCAGCCTCTTCCCTCCCAGACTTTGAGCTCCTCTCTCGTATCCTCAAAACTGTTAACTCCGGCTCGTCCCAGACCGCCTCCCCCCCTCACTTAAGCACCCCTGCTGCACCTATGTCACTGATTGGTCCACCTCCCCCCATGCCTCCTGCACCTGTAGACAAGCCCGTTGACCCCCGTGTGGCCCGCAAAGCCCTCGCAGACCCCCGTCTGCAGCCACAGAAGTCAGCACTGAAGCAGCCGTCAGAACCCGCGCCTCCTGCTCTCCCCTCTACATCTCCGGCGACAACATCTGGCTCCTCTCCACCTCGTATTGCCCCTTACGACCCGCGACTGCTCTCCTCAGGTGGGGCAGGGCGCAGTGTGGGGGCCGGGGCACCAGGGGGAGCCAGTGTGCTGAGCGGCATCAGTCTGTATGACCCACGGACTAACAAACCAGGCAGCCCCAGTGCCAGCAGTGGCTCGAACAACTCCCCCAACTCGGCCACCAGCACAGAGTCCAAACCCAGTGAACCCACGACCAGTAAACCCAAGTCCAAGGAGCCCCTGTTTGTTCGGAAGTCTGCGTTGGACCAACCGGAACCAGAGAAAAGCGGAGAGCAAGGAACCGATCGATACAACAGCTACAACAGGCCCCGACCCAAGCCTGCCCCCTCGCCTAACTCCACAGCCCAGGGGGGTTCGGCCGCAGCCGGGGCGGCCGCGACTGGAGGTCAGGGGGCTCCCGGAGCCGCCGGAGATCAGGGGCCCGCAGGCGTCCACAACCTGCCGGTGTCCTCTCTGTTCGGCGTGGTGAAGCAGGCCGCCAAACCCGGCGGGACAAGCAGCCCGTTCGGAGGGAACAGCCCGGCGCAGTCTGACCAGGCGGCCGCGGAGCAGGACAACGCCTCACTGAAGGACGTTTTCAAAGGCTTTGACCCGACGGCTTCGCCCTTCTGCCAGTGACACCGACCCTGGAGCGCTGAGGCCCAGGATGTGCTTTGGGATGTTTTAATGTTTTCTTGGACGCTGAACAGATCGGCGAAAAACAGAAACGAGCAGCACGGCGACTGCCTGAAAGACTGGTTAAGACGAAACCTTTGTGAACAAAACACACGACACACACACACACACACACACTTTACCACAGTGTTGGAGATGCAGATTCTATAACAGACTCTGGGGTAATGGGAAGGGTTTAAAGTTAAATCTCTATTTTAAACAGACTTATTGATGTATAAATAGATGTATTCTCTTCATCTCAGTGCTTTGGTGAAAACAATTATTCAGACCGCAACAATACACGTTTATATGGAATGAACATTTTAACTTCACGTCTTTTTTTTTTCTCTTCAGTTCCTCATTTTTTAATTTTATTTTTCTTTCTAAGTCTTTTCACCTTTAAACCGTTTGACGTGCTCGTGTATACTTTTGGGTAGCTAACAGCTGGGCAGCGCAGCAAACGAAAAGGTGGGGTTTTTATTTATCGGACGATTTCCCGACAGAATATATTGCTCATCCGTGGTGTTTTCTGTGATCACATCAGCACTGAGGCGACTCCACCCGTCAGAAACAGATATATATCACTGCCTTGGTGTTCTCTGCATTTCCTTTACAACCTTTTTTTTTTAGCTTTCTCTAACAGAAGCGTACATTTTGTTCTGGTCCACATCATGTTTTCTGCAGGAACAGTTGCAAATATCTGAATATAAATCTATATTCTGCTTGATTTTTTTTTTTTTTTTTAGTATTTATTTTTCTACTTCTTTGCACTGTCGGCTTGTTGTTCTCTGAGGCTTGTATTTTTTAATGTCTGTAGCTCATCCTGCTGCTCCTATACAGTTCCATTTCAGGTATTTAGCGCTTTTCCAAAACAGGTGACTTCACTGTTTCGGGCAGTGACCCTTTAAGTTCTGCCTCTGTAACCACTACACCACTGTTGTTCCCCTGTTCCCCTCCCCACATTTACACAAGTTTTGCCTTTGGTAGTTCTTGTTACTACGAGGAGAAAAGACTTTTGAACATTTTGTTTTATCGGTTTGCCGAAAGTGGAGAGCGTCCAGCTCGTGAATGGAAGTTTCTGTAAAGGATGAGGAGATAAAGAGCAGACGCAGCTGCTCAGATGGATGACGGAAGCGTCGCGTCCTTGTCGGGAGGCGTTTTAGTCAAAACATCGGCGGCGTTGCAGGGACGTCTGGCGAGATTGTTCTTGCTGCCCAAAAGTCGAACCTGTTATTAGCGATTGTTTTGGTTTTTTTTGTCCATCTTGATCAGAATTGGACGCTTTGATTGACCGATTTAAAAGCCATCGTCTTGCTTTTAGTTGTTTTGTTTTATTAACTGCTTTGTAAAGAATGAAAAGAATCCTATCGAGCACGACTGCAGATTCGTGAGAGCAGAGGTTGGAAGGATTAGGATCATTTTGCTGCATCAAGCTTCAAGCGTTTTGGTGGCACTGTGACAATCATAGACTACCCTCGGACCTAATACTCAGTCAGCGTGTGAACCCATCTGTGCAGGGGCGTCCCTCTGAGTTAGAACCATGTCGTTCAAAACACACGCAAAAGTTTTTTTCTGTTTCAGGCTTACAGTAGAAATGTTCGTCCTTCTGGTGGAAATGTTCTGTTGCTGTGGATTTACACGAGCCTCCCTCCCCGTTAGCAGCTGGAGCGAGCGCAGCGTCTGAATCGGGGGGTCGAGGGGAAGCGGTCGTTCTGTCCGATGCGGTTTCATCGCCGCGGTTTGTTCGAGAATCTGCAAAGGTCGTGGGCCGGGTGGGAAGGGGGGAAGGGGGATCACAGTCGCGGAAGTTTTTCGGAGGTTTTTCGACTTCCGGAAGGTTAAGATTGTACAACAGCTCTCAGGATCGTCGTCGGCCGTCTTGTGTATAAATGTTGATCATTTTAATTTATTTTTTTATACTTGGGTAAATATACTTCCTCACTTGTCATTTTTGAACCGAGTAATTTTGTACGTCAGGAAACATGTGAATACCACTCACCTCAGTGGGACGAAGGCAGGCTGTAGTCGTGTGAGGACAGAGAGAGGGAGAGAGAGAGGAGGCTTCTTTTGGTTTTGTGTATGAAGATTCAGACTAACAAAGAATTCACTATTTGCTCCCTGCTGCCGGCCCGTCACGCAGCCCGACAGGGCGCCGGCCGTGGCGAGCGTGAACAGTTTTGTTCTTTCCTTTACTGGCTTTGTTGTTTTGTAAATTTGTTTTAAGTTTTTTTTTTTTTTTCTCACTATGTAAATTTGACCTTCCTGTCTTTGGAGGAGTGGAGTTTTCTAACTGTACACTGTAGGTGAGGCTGTAAGTATTTAAATAAAGTTGACACATGATCAACCAGTTAACTCTTTTTGCTGTGTGTTTATTACCTCAGTCCAGTCGTGTGATTTCTGCCTTTTTGGTTAATTAAATCAGAATAAATGAACCTTTTCTGGATCTCTTACGGCAGCCAAACGTAAGCCTGTAAAGTCTTGCTCTGAAAGCTCCCACGTCTGTCAAAAGCGTTTGATTCTGTAACCTCGTCATCTGAAATATGCAGCTTGAATTTGACTCTCAGAACCACTGATGCTTATTTTAAGCTGCTTAGAGAACCAGACGGGCGGGGTCAAGTGAAACCCGGTTGAGGCTGCGGTCATGTCTTCTCCTGGTTCTGTCTTCAGTTAAATAATGGTATATTTGAAAACGCCCTTTAACCCAGAATCCTAAAGGCATCACTCTGGAGCAGGCGTGTTTCTCTGTCCGACATTGTTCCTTGATATATTTAGGCCCGAGCGCCTGAACTGGCTCGCCCTCTGTGGATTTGGATCAGCACCTCGGCGGCACGCAGCCCGTTTCCTGGTTGACTGCGATCCTCTGGTGACTCACTTCCCGCTGCCCACCCATCCTGCAAACGCTGGCTCCAGGAAGACAAACTATTCATCCCGTACCTCAAAGGTTTCCTATCGCAGGCACAAACACACATGCGCTCGCTCGGCTGCAGCGCTGCGTGTTGCAGAAACGTTTGACCTTCGACGCAGCTGTTGTTTGTCATGAACGGGACAAAATATCAGATGCACGACTCGTGTTTGGGTAAAAGATTGTAAAGCTGCAAAGTGGAAAAACACACAAGAGTTCAGGGTGAGATGCTCTGAGAATCAATGATCCAAATTAGTGATGCACGATATTAAAATTTCTGGCCGATACCGATATTAAGATTTGTGATATCGCCGATAACCGATATTACAGATATTTAATTTTGTTCACACTGAAGAATGAGTAAGCACTGTGAGAAGGTGAGAACTATTCAAAAGAAGCCAGATTAGACCACATAGTCTTCTTTATTACATAACAAAAGTAAAACATATTTAAGTCCAGGACCATTTAAGTAAAAACATCTGTGAAATAGCAGCGATATCAAACGTAGAGACGAAGGCGCTGATGTTAGACGATCATCGGCTAAATTTGTTCGTCAGACCAATACCGACATATGGGAAAAACACTAATATCGGCCGATACTGATGTGGTCGCAGATATATCGTGCATCCCTAATCCAAATATAAAAGTAACACCTTTGTTTATTAAAACAGAGTTTAGAGTAAAAAGAAAAGAAGGCCAGAGATGCACAAGTTGGAAAACTAGAGTTAAACATAAACTGAATCAATACAACAGCAGATAGAATAATAAAAGAACCAAAAATGCCACATCCAAGTAAGGGAAAGAGCAAGGGAAATAAAATGGCTTTAAAAGTAAAAAAATAACTAAATATGTACAGTGGTCCTCAAATGTATTCATCCTCTTCCATTAAAGAAAAGGCAAAATTCACAATAATCACTCAAATAACAAGAAACTGAAAAAAGTAATAAATAAAAATTTGCTAAATTATAATTTAGTGAAATAAAACATTGCTTTTCAATTGTGGTTGAAAAGAATAATTTTAAAAAACAAACAATACTGTCAAATTAGAGCACTTTGCTGATGAGCAGTGAAATCCAAACACCTGTCAACAGGTGCAGAAGTCTGACTGAGAGTTACAGGAAACACCTGATTGGCTCAAAGGGTTGTTCAACAGAATATTAGTTCATGGTCCCATCATGCTTGTTTGCTTGTTGTTTAAAAAATATTCCTGTTGAACCACAATCCAAAAGCAATGTCATGATGTTCATTCATTTTTTATTTATTACTACTTTTGCCAATTTCAACTTAGTTCAACAGTTTTTTCCTTCTTTAATGGGAGGATATGAAAACATCTGAGGACGACTGTAGATAAAGGGTACAATAATACAATTTTAAAAAATCTATAAGATGATCAAAATAGGTCACAATAGCAAGTTTGTAAAAATATGTCCTCAGAAGCAGTTTAAACAAAGACACTGATTGAGCAGGTTGACATCTGGAGGTGACACGGACCTTGTCATGTGGACTTCGGTCATTCAGGTGTTTGCCCAGACTTCCCTCAAACGCCGACTCGTGTCTTCACTGTATCTTGATCGGTAATCTGCTTAGCTGCCCGTTTAGAGAAGCTACCTGCGGCGAGTGTATATATAGAAGACCTGATCCTCTTAGACGAGGACTTCGGCCAGGATTTGGAGATTGAGCGCTGCAGTGCTGCGGTTTGCACTTGTGGCGGCGCAGTGTGTGAACCAGGATGTTGAGATCTGCGCTGAACCTTGAGCCTCCATCCAGAGGGATGTGTTGTGTCTCTCCAGTCTGCTGCCTGAATGTCTCGTCATCCTGGAAGTTCATAAATGGAGAAAAACAAGTTCTGCACTTTTATAAGAGGAGGACACAGAGGTTAAAGGGAGTGAAGGAGATTTATTCCACCCACAGGCCCCTCGCAATTACTATTAAAGAGCTTCTTTGCTCAGAAACAATTAAGCAACTCATGCCGTCAAACAGAAAACGAAGCACACATTGTTTTCCTGCGGTAGTTGTCTCTCTCCGGCGCCCTCGGTCTCCAGCCTGTCTGTCTCTGTGAGCTACTTGTTGTCAGCTGCTTCAGATAACAGCGTCTGTATGAGACCCAAATACAAATTCCTGCCTCTGATTTCTTCTCTTCTGTCATTGTCTTATTCTGTCAGGACAGTCAAGCTGATAATATTTGGACATAACTGCCTTTCCAACCCCTGCAGCAAAATTTGCTAATATCTGCACAATAGTTTTCGTTTGTCTCAGCTCTTTGGGCTTTTTTTCTTTTTTCCTAAATCATCCTGCAGGAACTGTGTGTGCTGAACGTAACAGGCCAGCAGATAAAGCAGAACAGGACTGTCACTGGGTTGTGTTTGCTGCTTTATCGGGACGTTCATATCGCCGGAGACGACCTTAAATGTGTCGTGTCAGCCGACGCGATTACTGTAAATCCCTCATCCAGTCTGACGTTAAAGAGACTCGAACTTGTAGAAAGCAGATTCATCACTGGCAGGAGGAATTTAAAATAAAAAAAGCAGTTTTACTCAAGTGATGGTTTGATCTTCTGAGTTTATATCCATGTTATAGTCATAGGAGTTCACATTTAATCAAATTAGAAGGTCACATACTAGAAAAGAACCTGCAACAAATCATAATTTATCAAAGTAGACTGAGAAATATTTATAAAAAAATAATTATTGACAAAAATACATGAAGCAAATATATGAAAAATACATGAAGAATGTAGGATTTTCCTTCAGTTCCACTCTTACAGGCTGAAACAGATTCAATTCAATCAGCTCAACATCAAGCTCTGCAGAAGCCTGATAACGATCCTGATTATTTGATGTCAAACTGAACCTTTTATCTGCTTAGTGATGAGAGTGAGTCTGATAGGAAGCTATTGTCATCATCCTGAGGTTTGA